TGCAGAATAACATACAAAAAACGTTTTTGTGATTAATGAATGGATGAGTGAGAAGAAAGGTTTTGTGTGTGAGGGCATGTTCTACCTTTCTCTTTCTCTTGCTCTCTCCTTGTTCATCTCATTCTGCCTTTGGATGCAACAGAGGGATATGTTAGAAGTGAAATTTGCAAACGTGCCGAACGAATTTCGTTTGCAGACGATGATTCATATATGAAAAGCTTTTGTCTTTTTTTTTCAAAATAATAAAATGAATTAAAAGAGAACAATTAGAGGGAGGTGGATTAATTGGAGAAAAAACGAAGAAGCTATAACCCCCTCAGGCTATGTGTCTCGTGTGGAAACAAGTGGTTGGAGGAAAGGAGATGGAGGAATGATCATTTGATTCTTCATACAACAAAGAAAAATATGAAGTTTGATTTGTTTGTAGCAGCCTAAGTTGGCTGACCAGCTTGATTCCTGTGCTGCTCAAAGAGAAGAAAGCCGTGACCAGAATGATCATGTTATTCGCCCTGTGTGCATAAGGTGAACAACTAGCTTTTCTCTCAATCTCTCTCATATCAATCATATTTCCTTGACCTTTCCATTTTCATAGTTTTCATTTTTGTGTGTGTGACTGTAAAACGAAACGATTAGAAGATGGAAAATGTTGAAGACCAAATATGGAGAGCTGATGATGCACACACGAGCTTCATGACTTGGCTGGATTCACAAATCGCCCTGTGCTTGCAAACAACTAAAAATTTTCAAATAACTCATATTCCTTTCTTCATCGCATTCTCATTAGGCTCTCATTAGTGCTTCTTGGCACCAGCCTTAAAAAAACAAAATAAGAGCAAAGAACAGTTTAATGAGCGGATTGTGTAAGCTTCTGGCTGTTGCTCAGACAGTGTACGAGAACAATCTAAATGAGCTCATGACTGAGCACGAATGGTTGTTAATCAATGACATCCTCCAGTTATTGGAGAAGAGACGAGAAACATATCTAATCTCTATTTATGGCAATGATTCATTTCTCAAGATCCGTCAATTCATTTCCATAGATGGCTATCTAGCTCATTATGTGATCATCTTCATGAAGCTTCATTATAATTCCCTTTGCAGCTTCTCCCTGTAAGACTCTCCGACTCTCTCTTCTTAGCATCTCTCTCTCTCTCTCCCTCTCTGTGTTCAATACTCAAAGACTGAAAATCAATAAGTAATCATTGTATAGAATGTATTTGATTAAAACATTTCATGATTAACAATTATAAAACTTGACTGACTTAACAGAACTTCAGCCAATAAGACATTGACAAAGCGACTTAAAGTATTTTTGGTTTTTTCTTGTTCTCTTTTAACACAGAAATCACTTAAATACATAAGATTTCGTGTATGTGTATCATCATGTGTTCATATTTTCATTTTAAGACCATTTAAGCCTTGCTTCATGTTGAGGGACGGCATTTGTCGTTTGTTATCGTTCATTTCAATCTCATACAACAATCTATTATAAAACTGAATTTGAATATTCTAATCAAAAGTGTATGAACAACAGTCAGAGAGAGAGAGAGAGATGGAGAAGGAGAGGAAGTGGAATGGTACAGCTGAAACATGTTCAGAAGGTTGTTTGAACTCATTTGTTTTCGTTTCCAAATGACAACAACTGGCTCATCTCTTTGTCTTCTCTTTAGTCTCAACCTTTCTTATTACATGTACATCATACCGTAAAGAGAAGTTGTTGAAGATTAAAAGGTATAAGAACGTTTCGGACATGACCGGACACAGCAATTGAAAAGTTAAAGGAAGAAGTGATATTTGAATGCAACCGCTCATGTGGATGTCAGATTTGAAAATGGCGGAATGTGAGACGTAAGACAAGTCACGGGAGAGAGCACGGGTGTAAAGCGTTATATGCAAATGAAGTAGACTAAAGGAAAATGGTTTTAATCACATAATGTTCTGATAGAAGATAATACTTTAAAATAATTGATTTATTGTGTTGTCGGAAGATAAATGATTGAAGTTTTCAATTGCATCATGCGCTTTGGATGAACTTGTGTTCGGACAATTATTGAGCTTCATCGTTTCGTTTTTGATAAACAGCTTTGTAATTCTGGAAGACATGTGACTGATAGTATTAATTGTTTCTTTCCTCCTTTTTTCTTTCTCACTCCTACAAGCATTCCTTTTGGTTCTGAAAATGGGGGAGAGAGAGAGAGGGAGATGGAGGCAGAAACTCTCTTATGTGATCTGTTGAGAGTGGTTTAGGATAAGGATCCTCTCCATCGTCTTCATTCTCATCATCATCATCAACATCATCAACACACCATTAATGGAAGTTAAATGCTGCTTTTCATAAAAATTTATTTCACTTTTAATATGTACAGATAGAGAGAGAGAGAACAACGTAACAAGTGAGAGAGATAGAGAAAGAGAGAGAGAGGTTCAACCAAAGAATGCTGCAGCTTGATTGACTAAGGGAATGTTATAGTTGTAGTCGTTTATACCAAAAGCTTGTCCAACGGATGCTGCTCCTCTGAAAAGAAAATCATTTTTAAGTTGTAATGTTCAAATGCCCACCTGTAAAATGCATTGGCTCCTGTTGCAAATACATTTGCTCCCGTAGTCACAAGCTGGCTTAAACTGCTGTCTGGTTGAGCTGATGACATAGGTGCTCCCAAAGAATCCGGATGATGAATAGGAATTTCACCTATAAGTATGTTATTTGTATGATATGACCCTTCAATACGATTACCTTGTGGATGAGTGAAAGTGTTTGTTGGTCTTGCTGTTTGGAATGCATTGGTGGATGTGGCCATTGGCTGCGGCCGATTCAGGTGAGGAACCGGCTCATCATCTCGCGGTGTGTTAAATGCTGATGAAGCAAAAACCTAAAGAAATAAAATGTTAACCATAAAAGATGAAATGAGAAGAAAAAAGATGGAGGAAGATAGAAATAGAGGGAATAACCTCATTCAATACAGGATCGTTGATGTTTGATATGTCCGTTAAGGAAGGAACACGACTTTCGCCTATCTGCAACAAGCGAGATTAAAGAAGAAGATGAATGAAGAAGGTGAAGAAGCATCTGTAAAAGGAAAGTCCAATCACACAAAAATCTTTTTTTCCTTCTTTTTTTCGTTCCGATGAACTAATCAGTTGAGAATAAGGTCGACAGAAGATGAAACGTACCGAGAATTGAATGAAATACAAGATGATCGCAGATATATGAAAACTGATGGATTGCATGATGAAGCTTAGATTTCTATGGGTAAGTTCAAATGGGGAAGTGATGATTAAATAGTAGAAGCAAATACATCAATATATAAAGATGAAGCGAGAAAATTAAACTGTGAGAGAGAGACGGAGAAAGGATGGAAAGAGGCAAATGAAATAGAGAGGCTAAAGAGGGAGAGATGACTTTCTCAGACACATAGAGAGAGACTGAGAGATTGTGTTGATGAGTAAAAAGGAGACGATAACCGACCGACTAAACAGGAATGGATGACGATCTAAACTACCCAAAAAGGACGATCAAAGCTTTTCGCTTTTATTTGACTTATCTATCAATCGATTAATGGTTTCCATATAAGGTTCGAATCATAAAACGTTCGTTTTATCCTCATCCTCTCTCACCTTCATCTCTCTCTCTCTCTCTATGTTACTCTCATATCCATAATATGTTTCTCTCTCTCTCTCTCTCTCTTTCTGTGTTTCCTCAAAGACTGAATGAGAAGAGCATTTCCAGTTCTTCCTTATCTCCTTTTCACATCTTCTCTACTGGTTTTTTTAGTTCGCATTAAGAGTTTAGAAGTTAATTTTTGATACAAACCATTTTGAAGTTACTTGTTGCAACACATCTGACTGATATCCTTTCAGGTCTCCCATGTACCCCAATCACCCCCCTAACCAGTTTATAGAGATGATGAAGACGTCTATCTGAGGATCATTTCGATATGCACTTCAACAGAGACCTCTCCTTCACTCCATTAGCCATTAAGTTTCATTAAGATTTTAAAAATAATTTTAATTACAAACGAAAAGAACGATAATTCATCAAAGGTTTTTATACAAATGATGGAAGGCAATCAACCGAAATGTGGGCCAGGCCGTCTGGAGATTACATTGTTGAAGGGGCCGTGAACACTGATAGAACCACCATGAAGACTGTGCGATCCACCATTGAATCCATAGAATACACCTGGGATGGGTGCACGTGCTTGTCCGTAGTATGACTTTCCTGAAATCAAAATGATGATGTCTAATCTTTTGATAAGATTAACTAACGGGAGGCATAACGATCGTAGAAACCACGAGATGAGCCGAATCTAACACCTTCCACACCCATGTCTGTATAAGAAGATGAGAACATGATAACTACTATAGATTACCTGAGATGCTGACCAGCAGAAGAATAGAGAAACAGATTGAAATGATAACTCTCATTACTATTGGGAGCTCAACGCACTTTCTGGTTATATAGGATGCCAAGAGCTCTGAGCTCCACCTTTTTCAAAGCAGAAGCTCATATTAGAGTATTTGGAGACAATAGAGTTGTCTCATGGAGAGAAAGTTCAAGTCAGAAGAAAAGAAAGTCAGTTCGGTTGATTGAGCGAATAGAAAAGTAGGTGATCTATGATTTGAAGTAAATTCTCTCTCAAACGGCATCAATCAGATCAGTGTTGGAGAGGAAGTGACGAGGGAGAGTCAGTTTTTGAAAAAAACAATTTTCATTATATTTATCTAAGTCTATTCGTTCAGCTATAAGATCAAAGATATTATTGGTCTTGACCAAATTGGAAGAAAGACTTCTCGACACCAATACTGACCAGTTTCTTTGTTCTTTTCGAACTTTTACAGCTTTCATTAAAAATCTCCTCAAGACAGACTGTTATTATTATATTTATATAAGTCCCCAATACATGTAATAAAGAATAATTGATTGTTGAGAGTGATATGTTCTTTATCCGTAGCGTCTTCCGAATGATGGTCCTCCTCGACGTGGTGGTGGATAACGGGAACGTGATGGAGATGGAAAACGACCTAAAAAATGAAAAATAAGACGAAAAAATGTGAATTTTGAGATTTCGAACAGAATAGATTTGAATGAAAGATAGTCACATACGTGGTGGAGGTCCTCGACGAGGTGGAGGTCCACGGAATGAAGGAGGACCACGTCGAGATGGTGGTCGGAAGAAAGGCAAAGCCTCAGCAAAGTCTAAAATGATAGTTGATGAGTAACTGTCTATAGAAAAGAACTGTCTCACCAAATGTGACTAGCAATACAGCGAAGAGAGCGAAGATGAATGTGATTTTCATTTTATAACTTTTGAAAATACATTTTCGCTTATATATTGCCGTCGAACTCGAGTTTTTGGGTGATCTTTGAGACGAATTCGGTAAGTTTGTGTGTCATTAAACCAATTCAAGAATGATATGAATAGATCATTCTGATATAGAAGAAGGAATGAAAGAGACAAAAAAGCTGTTAAATGACCTTTGCGAAGGCGAGATAGAGAGAGAGCGAGAGAGAGAGAGAAAGAGAGAGAGAAAGAGAGAGAGAGAGAGATGATTGATTGATCAAATGAAACAATTTGTTGGAATAAATACTTTTATCTACGAGTCATCATAAGACAACAATGGGAGAGTAATAAGTTAGTTGTAGAAGCAGCTCCTCTCTTGAGCGGGTTCAAGATTCAGAATTTAGTGGTGGATCTTTCTGGCTTGCTTCTTTCCCTTCTTGGCGTGCTTTGGCTTTCTGTGTTGCTTTGGCTTTCTAGCTTGCTTCTTTCCCTTCTTGGCGTGCTTGGCAGCGTGCTTAGCAGCTCTGCGGTGTGGGGCGGCGTGGGCTCCATGTCCCTTGGCTACAGCGTGTCCGTGTCCTGAAAGAATGATTGTTGTAGGGATGGTAGAATGGTAAAGAATGCTTTGAATAGTTAGCAGGTGTATTCAAATCATTTTGAAAGATAAGCTGAAAACTCACTAGCGACCTTTCCGTGTTGTGGCTTGGCTTCAGAGACTCCAGCGAAGATGGCGAGGACGAGGGCGAAGACGAGGCAGAGAGCGAAGAATTTCATGGTTAATGAAGTAGTAGTTGATGAGAAGACGAAGTCGAATTGACTGTGATTTCTAGGGCCTTCAGTCCTCCTTATATACCCTGGATGCCAGGTTGTTCGCAACTGCGATCCATCTGGATCAGGTCCAGATCCGTTGTTCATTCAAAAGAACTCCTCCCATTTTTCTCATCTAACAATTCTATGCCCTCTCTCGATGTTCAAGTTTTTTGTCTTTCCGGGGGGAGAGGGGGCATGTTGAAGACAGGGCTATCCTGCTTTTCTTCACTTCTCTTCATCGCTTTTTAGCACATAATTCTCGTCGGATTATAACCGTCTGCTGTTGCTATTCCATCTCTCTCATACCCATAACGCAGTTGAAACTTTGTAAGATTGCGATTTATCAAAAAGTTTTCAAAAAAAAAGCCAAAAAAAAAGAAAAAAGTTTGATCTTAGTTTAGTTTCCTTCTTCTGCTGAAGAGTATATGGGTCATTGATGAGATGAGAAGACATAATTGGTGGTACTACTCATAAAGTTGTCAAGGCTACTACTACTCGTTACTGCTCATATCATACAATAATCTCGATTGCAAGTAACATCTTAAACGCCACGATAGACATAACCACCAAAGGAAGATGATACTTCCCATAAGTATACTGTCTGCAGTCGTTTGTTCTTTCTCTCATTTTCAAGCATTTGAATGAGAGAAACGAAAAGTAGATGTTGTACGAAACAAATGAATGTTTACATTATGTTACGTTTGTTTATCCAACTTCACATAGGGTGAAGACTGTTAACGTTTAGCTTGTCTCCTCTACCTCTTCATACTGTGGTCAGTTCAGAATTCATTGTTAAGTAGAATGACTTGCTACGTCTTATCTATAGTTGTTCTATGTTTCACGTGTTTCACGTATTTCACGTATAACGTATGAATGCGTGTTGTTGAGAGTTCACGTGGTCCACGTGGTATCATTTGATCTCACGAACATGTTATGAACGGTTGTTTCTGATCTCCATTCTTTCTGTTGCTTCTTAGAATAATCATTGGTGCTAGACGTACGAAGTCTTAGCAGGTGCAGTCCATGCTTGTTTCTCCCATCCATCTCATCACGTCATTGAACGAACTAAAAGAGATTAAAACTAGAGAACTGGATAAATGTTTCTTATTCCATCTTATTTTTATGATATTAATCAGTCTTTCCAATCCGTTCGACAAACATAATCATTTTGAATATACTATATACCGATCGATGTCTCTTGCAAAAACTCTTTTTTTTAAGTTCACCAACACGTTTTGTTTGGCAACATACCCGTTACGATGAAAGACAACTTCCCTGTATACATGCTTCCACCTCCATTTCCTCAACCATCTCCCCTTATCCCATGTTCATATCTTAGAAACTTAATTTCTTAATGAGGAAAAACTTGAAATTACATAACTATGCGCCTATTATGGTTAACTAGGCTGTAGTTTTCCTTCCTCATAATATTCATTTAAAACCAAAAAAATATTTTACAAGAAATATGAATATGGTCATGATTCACATAACGTTATATGCGACAATGCTCGTTTGATGGTCAAAATGAGATGCAACCGATCGCCAAAACAATACATATCCATATCAAGTTGTTGAAACCTTTTAACGATGTTTTATCATCCGAAAAACTTATCAGATAAGAGCTTGAGCGCCGAAAACTGAATGTTGCGCTTGAAAAATCCAATCGAACTTATCGAGTTTTCAATTTCAACAATCATGACACAAAAATCGAAGATAAACTTTATGCTAATCAGGTTGAACCACGTAACGGAGATTCCACGTGGCACTTACTAACGCGTTCATTTTTGAAAAATTAGCATAAACAGTGAACGTACACAACGCCAAACAAATAAACGAAAAGCTCAAGAATTTGAAGTTAGTTCGAACCGCCACGCGACACGCAACGCATTCTTTTTATTTTTTTTGTTCTAGAGGTACAAATCATCAAGTTCTCAACCTTGTAAAGAACATAACCCTTTTAATATGCAGGTAATACCTAATTGCTCATGAATATGTGTTTGATCCTTCGTTCATTTCTTCAATCATAGTGTCTGAATACTTCTTAAGAGTCTAAAGTCATCGGTTTTTAGAGTGATTTGTATTCGAGTCAGTTAATACGGGTAATGCTGTGATAGCATGCTGAAAAGAATCAAAGCACAAGTCTCCCAGGTAGCTAATGAGGTTTGCCTTGTGTTCTCTTGTGTTAGTATTCACTGCATTTATAGTTGCCTGGTGTTCTCTCTCCAGGAAATGATCGCAATAGTTCCAGAGATGAGTCTTTCCTTCCGGAGCCGAATGAGGTTAGTATCGAGAGATCAACTAACTTTTTTTATAAATTATACCATGTTAGGAAGGCGAAATCGAGGGGTTCTTATGTCCTGTTTGCATGACTCACTTTGACTCACCTGATCAACTTTCTCAACATTTCGAGCGCCAACACAGCTTAGTTAGTAATTAGGCATATCATTCAATGTTCCATCAATTTACAGAATTCACCTCCTTCAATCGATAACCCCAATTTTGACAAAGCAAACAGTCGGTTTCATTATTATATTCTCTTGCACGAATTAATTTCTTTTAAGACGTCCCTACTTCGCCTGGTGTTTTCCAGTCCAAAGACCATGAAATTGAAGAGTTGAAAATACAATTAAAGGAAGAGAAAACATTCTCTAAAAGATTGAAAGTAGGTTTTTTTGTGGGAAAAACTTGAAATTTACTTTTCACGCCATTCAGGAAGAGCTAGACCGAATTCAAGGGGTTGTTGCTCAAGCCACAGATGTCCCGACAGAGGAAGTGCCTTACCTTCTTCAGCAAATTCAAGTTCTAGAGGCAGGCAAAAGCATGGGTAACAAGAGAGATTCATAACTAATAACAAGTTCATCTGTTCTAGTTACTCAACAAATGCTGGAGTTTGAGAAGGATGCTTCTCAGTCGAAGCGTACGTTTGAAAACATGAGCAGAGAGCGCAATGACATAATGACCAAGCTAAAGCAACAAAGTCAACAAATACGAGAATTAATGGATCAGAATGAATCGTTCAAGGTTTCTATAGCTTCTAAATGTGTTTGTAACTTCTTCATTATCAGAATGAGAGAGATGTTCTAAGTGAACAGTCCAAACGGGATACGCTCTCGATCAACAACTTGCACTCGGAGATTGATAAGTTGATCAAAACTTTGGATCAAAGGTATACTTCATAAACAGAATGCAATACATGGACTGTTCAGACCAAGTGAAGATGATGTTGCTGTTCTTAGAACAGAACTTGTTAATGCCCAGAAGTTAATGGATGAAATCGCTCAACAGAAAGATGTTGAAATCGAGGAACATCGAAACTCAATCAGACATCTGAACATGGAACGAGAAAGGTTCCTAAGATCTGCGAACATGAAGTGCAATTGCGATTGATTTTCAGAGATAACTGTTTGTTAGTGAACATTCAGAATGAGTTGTCTGAAAAAGCGCAGAATTCGACTGAGTGAGTTTTGGATTTTGTTTTTTGAGAAGTAATGGCGTGCTCGGGGATTGAACACGCAACTGTGTTTTACAAAAAACGCCTAGCCTATTCAGCTATCGATCACGTGACCATCGTAGTGTTGAAACTTATTTACAAGCTTATCCTCTAGTCGTAGTGAATGATATGTTTGCAGGAGTAACTCGATTATAGAAGGTCTCAACAATCAGTTAGATGATAATAGAAAACTTTACGAGAAGACTAAGAAAGAACTGACATCTGCTCAACAGTCAGTAGATGAAAGAGAAAACAGAATATCTGAACTTCAATCAAGGTATATATTGATATGACTCTCTGTTGATGTAACTGTATTGTTATAGATATGACACAAACGTTGTAGAGCTGACTCGTTGTCAAGAAAAGATCAAACAACTTGAAGATGTGGTCAATAAAGGCACTAAGGAAATTGACGACTCACATGGTTTAAATGAGAAAAACAAGTTGAAACTGTTGAAGCTCGAAGAGTCATTACAACAGGTAAAAAACGCTCATGGCAATGTTCCTAAGAAACATTGCTCAGATGATCGAAGACAAGAAGAAGTATGAAGCTGATGTAAATGGGTTCGAAGAGAAGCAGCAGAAGCAAATGGATGTCATTAAGAGTGTATGGCTTACTTTCATTTTACTTGAGTTGATGTTTGGATGTTTAGCTGGAACTGTCTAATATGGATCTAACAAACGAAGTGGCATCTTTAGGTTCAATGTTAGAACAAGAAAGATCTCTCATTGAAGAAAAGGTTGAGCTTAGTGTTCCATACTTGATTGTTTACATTTTCCTTCAGAACTCATTGATACAGACGAAGGACAAAGCATTACATACCGTGGAAGGTGAAGTAGAAGAGTTCAAACGAAAAGTTGAGAAACTAGGTTCGTTTGCTATAGTTTTTCATCTAACTCCTAATGGGTCTATTATCTAGAAGTTGAAAAAACTGAGTTAACAACTCAAACTGAAGGGCTAACTAAACAAATTAATTCATTGGAATCTAATTCAAAGGAGTTGGCTGCGAAGGTAATGCTATCATCCAATGCTTCTACCAATATATAACTTGTTAGATAACCGAAGGAGAAGGAGGCAGTAAGATGATAATCGATCAGCTGAACGCTGAGAAGCAATCCCTTTCGGAAGAAATTTCTTTCTTAGCATCTTCTATCAAAGAAATTGTTAGTTTTCGATTTCCTTCTCAACCATCATTTTATCGTTCAGAAAGAGGAACATTCAAAGAAGGTTGAAGATACCGAAAAGAAGTATAGAGAGAAAGAACGTTCCTTGAATGAAAAAATCCAAAAAATAGAATCAGAAGCTGAAGGACTGAGACGAAACTTGAAGGAATCAGAGAACGATCTAAGTCGCAAGGTTTTTGTGTTCCTCTGTGTAGATACTGTCTGAATACTTTCTTTCAGTCTGAGAGATTTATTGAAATGGAGAAGGAATTAGATGAAGAGCGGCAAAAAACAGCCGAACGGGTTAACAAGTTGAAAGAACTTGTACTGCAGAAGGATGCAGGTGCTCAACAGTTGAAAGCTCAGCTTGAGGAAATGCAAAACTCTGTGGAGGATAAGAATAGAATGATCAGAGAGAAAGAAAGCCAATTGGACGAGAGTAAGAAGAGGATCGAGGAGTCCGTAAAGCATTTAGAGGAGGCTGAAGCTAAAGCAAGAGCACTGGTAACTAACTACAGAAAATCTCTCCTACGCACGTTTTAGGAGAATGAGCTGAAGAACACAGAACTTTTCCGAGAAACTGCGACGAGGTCAGAATCAGAATTGAAACAGCGACTTGACGAGGCTAATAACATCATCGACAAGTTGAAAACCGAAGCGAGTCAGGTTTGTGTATTGCATGTTTTCTCGTCATTTCATATTTCACCAACTAATTATTTTCCTATGCTTGGGTTCCCTATGGTGAATTAGCTCTGCTTTGACTAACTGTAGTCTTCCCCCTTTGAACGCTTATGCTGCTGTTTTTTAAGTTACTTTTTCAGTTGGCGGACGACATAAAATCAAAAGAAGATGAACTTGCTCTGATTGCTAAAGGTATTATCATCTTTCGGCTCCACGCAACAAATGGCTTTTCAGAAATGAATGACAAGGAAGATCATTGGAATGTAAAGAAGGAGGAATTCTTGAAACAAATGGACAAGAACCAAGAAGCAAATGACGTAATTTTCAGATGCACTAAGGCAATCTATATTTTTCTTCTCAGGATTTACTGGGTACTATCACTGAGCTTAAGAAGACGATTGAGGAGAATGAGAATGAGAAAAAGATCAAAGAGGTACTCAAACCATGCCATAGTTTGTTTTCATTTCCATCTCAGAGTCGAATTTCTAACTTGGAATCTACTGTCAGTGATTACACTAATAGAGTAGCAGAACTGGAAACTATGGTTGAAGAAAAGACTTCGAAAATAGAAGAATACAAGAAGAGTGTTACGGCTATGGTAAGACGCTCTCATGAAGTTACATCTTGAACACTGATATGTTAAGGAAGAAGAGAAGTCTGAGCTACAACTCTCAAACACCAGTTCAGCTGACAGCTATGAACGGTTGCATTCCGATTATGAAGTAGTTACGAGAGTTCTCTTCATTAAAACGTTGTTCGTTTAGGCTTTGCAGACAGCTAATATAGCTCATCAAGAAGAAATTGTTGAGACTAAAGAGAAACTCTCTCAACTTCAACATGAGCTCGAGGTCAGAATGGCTGATAGCGAAGACGAGAAGAAAAAACTTTTGGAACAAGTAGAAGAGAAAGATGAAGTGAGCCTTTTATTTTTAGAAACGAAATCTTACTTCATCTACAGGATCTCTTCCGCATATCTCAAAATATGCAACGACTCGAACTTAAATTATCTGAGAAGGAGAAGGAGTCTACCAACTTTAATGAGAGGATTGTTAGTTTGTGAAAGAAACGCCTTCTAAGAATAACAATTCAGTCATCATTCGAAAGTGAGCTGGCAGGTCAAAAAGATATTCTGGACGAGATGGAGCATGTTAGAACCCAACTCTCTGAGAACGTCCAATTGAAAGAAGAGGAACTCAACGCCATTCTATCAGGTATTAATCTTTTACTGTCTCATCAACATACTTTGTTCATAGAAATGAAAGAAAAAGAAGATCAATTCAAAATAAGAGAAGCTGACTTAAATCAAATCATTATTGTTCTTCAAGACGAAGGAAATGTAGGATTTTGGGATTTACGTGAATTAATTGTATGCTTAAGGGTCTCTCAACGAAAATCGAGGAGTTGAACAAAGCGATCTCGGAAAAGAATCAAGAGATCGACGGTTTCAAATCTTCTATTGCTTCTCATAACGAGATAACTGCTGCAAAAGACAAAGAACATGAGTATCTCAAGAATAGTAACTTGAAGATTCAAGCTGAAGCTGATGAAAAAGCTGGTGTCGTTCGCAAAGTCAGTTTTCTAACCAAAAACAAGATTTCGTTCATCCAATAATGATTATAGTTGGAGTCGAAATGTGCTCAGATTGAGAAGTTGGCCAAGGAAATCCAGGTTTCGAAAGACAAGGAAATTTCTGACAAAGCCACTCTCATAAATCGACTGGAAAACGAATTGGAAGAGAAAACTAAAGTTATGTATGATCGAGAGGAATCAATCAAGGGCTCTGAAGCTAATCATAAGAGAAGCGTTGAAGCATTAGAATCTGAGGTTTGACTCTAATTGTTCTCGTTATGAATTCTAATATTAGATACGTTCGGCGCAGCATGATCTCTCACAATGGCAAAAAACAGCAGAAGAGCTCACCATGGCTAATTCAGGTATAAAAACACATTATTCATTCAGTTCATTGAAATCTTAAGAGCTTCAAAAACAAAATTCTAATTGGGAAGAAGAGAAAAATGCGTTGATCGAAAGATGTCTCAAAACTGAAAGCGATCTTGAGTTTGAGAGGGAGCGATCCATAGAAAACAAACGACGATTTGACGACTGTTTGGCAGCAATGCATGAGTTGGGAAGAGCAAACCAGTCGTTGCAGGTTTGTAAGACTCAATCGAACTGTTCTTATCATATCAAACCAGATGGACATTTCTAAGCATACAACACGCAAATGGTTGGATGACTCAGCAGCATTAAGCTGTACTGATTGTGCTAAACAGTTCAGTTTAACAATCAGAAAACACCATTGTCGTATCTGTGGTCTTATATTCTGTTCCCAATGCAGTGACAAGACAGTCAGGTATTCGAATTTTTATAGGATTAGGCTAATTTTTTTTATTTATTAAAGGACTGCCAGCAGTAAGAATCCAGTGAGGTGCTGTAGCAACTGTCATACAGAAGCGCTTAATAGGTAGTTGCCATATCGCAAATTGATTACTTGTATGTAAAAACGGAATTATGTTGCAAAATAATTTATTAATACTTAATTTAAATTAATAGTTCTATGTTCTCAGGCATAATCTCAATTCGTTCTCCTTTGTAGAGTTTTGACAGTTTCGAGACTGCCCACTCAAACATTACTTTGCCCTTCATCAGTTTGTGATATTTCAAATGTGATAAGTATAATATTCAAATTCTTAATAATAACCTTCATATAGTTTAATAAAAAGTTTTATTTCAAGGAATGATTTAATTTTAAAAATTGGATTATGAAATGGGTGCGGCTGAGTAGTATGTGACCCTGATCAAGGAAACGGACACCCGTACTTCTACGATATCTGGAGATAAGAGCATCCAACAAGAAAAACCAATTGCATTGCAACCGTTTCTATTTCATCGAGGGCTACGTCATCAACACCAGCATATAACTATCATCCTTCTCCTGTTTTACTATGTGAAGCGTACTTCTCTTGATTAATTTGATTCGTGAAGAAATGAATCGCATTGCTCGAAGATCACTCCCGTCCCATCTATATCAAATTGATATCTCTGCTAGTAGTTTTTCAGGTAAAGGGGCCAGAACGCTTTTCGCATTGTGGATATCTCTAGAAAACTGGTACGATTCGAGGTCGAGAAGAGCTGCTTGATGACAGTAGGGGTTGTTGTCATATTACGTCAGCGATAAGATATTGAACTGAGACATATAATAGGATATAGATAGGAGCTTCTTATCTGATAGCATTTGAACCGGAAATAAGTTTTCAGTTAAACTTTGCAGGAATGATAAATAGAAATCTGTACAAAATAAATATCCTTTCTCGAATGGGTGTGACTGCTTATCCTTCCACCTCTGCGCTCATCGGAGAGTTGGATTTCACTTTGCGATATGTTGCCATTTAAGGCGTTAACCTATCACTAAGTTTCCGCAACTGTCATCTCTCATGTTCTTCGAAAATCGTCCAAGATGTGACGAAAATTCTTTGCTACAACCAAAAAAAAAGTTCTTTCATGTTACATCAGTAGTACTACCGTCAAACCATCGTCATCATCAGCTTCAATTAGCCCGACCCTGACGATTTCATGATTGCAGAACATGCCCCACCCCTTCTTTTTTTTCGTTGTAGAGCTTTGAACTGGCTTGACTTCAATATGATTTTCAAAGATTTGCGCATAAGAGAATGCTGGTAACCTCTAAGAAGCAAGTTCTCCAACCATATGATGGTTGAGAGAGAGAGGAAAAGATACCTATCGCCTATCATATTGAAACCCATTGGGCGGCATTGTTCGAACAAATACTCGTTAGTTTCTCTCCATTTCTTTTCTTTTTTTATTTCATTTCCAGACGGCTTCATAATCATCTTCTTCATTACTGTCGCTTTACGTTCAATTCCGATTTCGCTCTTGTCATCTGATGTTCTCTTACTTTCTTACTTTTATTAATTTTTTTTTGAAGTTTCTAAGGCCCCCGAAGTGTTTTGCTCACGTAAATCCTGGCTCATTATTAGTTTGCAGCGTACATCATACAGTTTGAAGACGTAATTTCGGTTATCCTAATCAGTTTCACGCACTGATTGCCAGAATCGAATCCACCGTTTGCACGCATTGGACAACATTTCCATTCATTCTGTCATTTTCTTTGTTTCTGCGGTCAAAAGTTGTTAAGATGAAACTTTCATCTGAATGCTTTTCGATCTTTAAAAACGTCTTTCTCATAATTGCCATTGACCAATCAACGTCATGATTCTCTTTGCTATCTCTCCCTCTCTCTCTCTGACTCACCTCATCTCTCATATGATGACAAAACAAGAAATAAAAAAACGAAATTCGCTGCTGTCTATTTGTACTAATTAAGTAATTATCCTTCGTTCAATTGCTTAATCTCCTTCTCTGTGATTATCCAGCATTCGCTGTTTTTCGATCCGATTCGCCGATTTTTTTGCGTTAAAAAACCATCTTCAGTCAATCTATAGAACATAAAAGTTCTGCAGATTGTATGTGTTTCTGTATTTTCACTTTCGATCTTCTCTCATCCAACCCATATATGTATATGTTAATATAGCTTCTATTTCCAGCTCTCAAGCGATGCTTCGCCTCTCAGTAGTTTTGGCTTTAATTGGTTTAACATCCACATGCATCTATAAAGGAGATAAGTATGATGATGGTGATACATGGGTAAGTCATTACCTTTCAAGCAACTATTTCATTTTCAAAACGTCATGGTACCGTTCCCAATTCACAAAATCCATTTGAGACACTATTCTTCAACCATTTTACACAGAACAGGTTTAATAAGCTTTTCGTTGAAGCTGTGTGCCGTTTTGTAGAATTTAACAATTGAAAAACCGGGTTGTGGCCTTTACTCGGAAAAAATTCCCAACATGGTCACATTGTATCACTTAATTTTAGGTTGTAAGATCAACATTCGTCATGAGATGTAGTGTAAAGAAGGAAGGATGGTCAACGTCTGTAATTGGCTGTAGAACACCAAACGGAGCTGTAGTAGAGCCCGGACAGAAAATTCACGAAGCTAATACGGTGCGTGATTATGTGAGACAGACAGTCAAACTACGCTGTAGCGGAATTCTGCAAAAAATTTATTCAAGCTAAAAGTAATTTCAAACTATTAATAACTGTCGATGACGATGATAATGTGACCATTTTATCAGTTGATTGGCACATTTTCGCGATTTATGACATCGACATTTTTCTTTTCACAATCGTCACATTTCCTTTCTTCATCAAAGTAGAGACAAAAAGCAAAACTAATCAATAATCTCATTACCGATATGCATTTTCATAACTGTATACGTTTGGCGCGTAATTTGTACGTAAGCGTAAGGCGTTACGTGAAAATCATTTTTGAATTAGACAGCGCATAGGACGGTTGCATTCCACCCCCCTTTCCCCTTTTCTCTCTTTTTTCGTTCAAATGGGGTTCGCCCAGGAATTCTCAGGAAAATCATTTTGTCTTCTGTCGAAACTAAAAAAGGAAAAATTGTAGGAGTTACTATCGTTTGAGTTTATGACGTAATGATCGCTCTCGATGAAAAAGAAATTTCCAACCAACAGTTTAAGAAATTGAAGTTTGTTCAAACAAATTCATTCAGTTTTTGGAAGTTTTAGACATACGAATGCATTTCAATGGGAAATGGTAAAGTAGAAATTAGAAGAACCTATGCTTTCGACGCCACTAGTGGATGTGAAGGACATAAAGTTGGTCAGTTGAACCGTTCCTCTTGAACGTTTGTAATGCCGTATGTGTTAAGGTGAAAGTTGGATATCGGAACGTAACTTCATGAAAGAATGCACAGAGAAGGGAGTACGCATTAAAAACTGTTTAACTGATGCAGGAATCTCTGTTAATGTAAATGCCAGTCTACAACTGAGTGGAATTAGCTACAAGTCATACAAACACTCATGTAGTTAAATGAAATTACATTTTGAATTATTTCAGTTGTCGACAACATGACAACGGTACAATCAGCATTAACCGCGAGGTATTACCGAGTAACAGCACATTCCGTTTAGACAATGTAAGTTTGAAGAAAAACGAATGAGAGAGACAGACACTACTCACTGGCATGTATTAATCTGTTTCTAAAAAAAATTGTTTTTTAGCTTCGTCCTGTCGAGGTGCTCGGACCCATGTTCAAACGATTCCGTTCATTAGGAAAAGTGAGTTAGGTTCGTAGTGAACGAACATTTGAATCATAATAGAAATAATCAAAATAGCAAGCTTCGACGAAAGATTAGCTAAGAGCTTTCTGAATTTTTCCCGGAAATATTATACAGGGGTTTTAATGAGAAAGAAAAATTGAAATTCAGCTGCTTGAGTCAACGATAGATGATAGTGAGGAATTAGAAATACAGAGAAAGCCCAAGACGTGTTCCAGCAAAGGAAAGACTTATCAAGTTGATGACACGTAAGAAGCGTTTTCTATGCATTCCAGGTAACACACGACTATTGCAGGTGGGTTTCTGAAAACAGATTTACGAAGAAATGCACGTCTACTGGGGCCATTGTGATTCTGAATTGCTTGATTTCTGATGAAACAGCTGTCGCTGTTAATACAGAAGTGAAAATAGACAATCAAGTAATCCGTATAAGATTTCGTTTGAATCAGACAATCATCTGTTTCAGACATTCAAGTGTTATCGAAAACAAGAAGAAGGACGCGTCTATTTAGAAATCATAACTGAATAAGATAGTTGTAATTATTATCCTTGGACTTGTCTCTCTATCTCCCTTCTCCTCTCTCTCTATCTCTCTCCTCTCGACCATTCGTGGACACTTTGAACTTCGGGTGACACTTAGACATTTTTTAATTTATAAAATAATAATGTTTGATTTATGAGATTTTTTTTCTCCTTATACAAACATTTGGTTGTCGACTGCTATTATTATTTAGAGCATGATGTCATTTCTACATATAAATTAGCATAAAAATTTAATAATATTCTCATGATTGATGGTGCCTCGAAGTAACTGAGAGAGAGAGAGTAAATGGAATTCAAGCTTCAACATATCCAATCAAGTTTTCATTGAAAAAACCTGAAGACTCATTTCGTGGAAAAGTCATTTTCACGCCTCTCGCAATCCCGCATGCAGGGAGCGTGGATTTTCCACACGGGACTCAATTTCACGTGAGCTGTCGTAACGTGATTTGTTTGGCCGTGGAAACTTGGCATTTACTAACTTACACGCCAACAGAACGGTTGCTATCCATTTCGTCTTCATTCCAGCAAAATATGTTTTGCCCATGTTTTCTCGTTCTTTGTTGGTTCTGCTGAATGCTGGAAATTAGTTTTTTTTTCTCTTCGGGAGATTTTTATATTTCGTGATTTGTGACCCTCCTGTATTTTAAGGAGTCAGAGCTACAAAACAACAATCTGTTCATCTCCCAGGATCATACAGATTCCATAGAGCTGACACAATGCTCACTAGCTCTCTCTCTTCCCTCTCGCGCCCTTTCTTTCTCTCTCTCTATGTATATGCCTCACTTCATGCAAACCTCATAAAATTCAATCTGCAAAAGGATATTTAATTGATGTCATAAAGAAATATTCTTAACGATCACATTCAAATCTTCGAATGATCAAGCGTCGTCTTACCTTTCCATTCTTTTTACCCACGAATATCTCAGAGTTTGTCAAAAACATATTCTTTTCCATTTTGTTGCTTTGTGTTTCAAATGAGACTTTCAGATGTGGAGAGAATGCAGTTTCAGCTCAACTGCCGAAGTCTGTACAATCATAATGTCTTTTACCATAATCATATTCTATTTAAGAATAATCTATATACATTGGAAACTATTTTCTTCTTTTCATCCCTTCTATAGGTTTGTTATCAACTTGCCAACTCTCCAACTTACCCTTTTCCAGCTTATTCTTATTGACTGTCTTGAGCACTAATACCATCATCTATATCCTCACCATAGCCCATTCTATTTTTAAAATTGTCAACAGCTCATCTGCCATTTTGCTCATTTATTATATCATATCTGCTGTAGAAGGTACTTTACCGATCAAGGCGAACGCACTGTTTTCTCAGTTTATTCCCAAGCGATGATGTTCTGTTGCGTGTTGGAACGTGTTTGTGCGACAGTTTTTCGGAAGAACTATGAATACAGTCGCTTTTGGAAGCTCGCTGTTCTTTCCCAGCCTTTAGCTGTGAGTATTGCAGCACCACAAATCATACGTTCATATCGTTCAGTTTCTATATTTGGCGCCTTTATACTTGCTTTCTACACTCGATCAGTTGGCTATTAGACTTATAGTTTATATACTAACATCTCTGGTATCATATACTCAGATTACCATAATCAGACTACCATTCTAGCTCTTAATCCTCGTCTTAGGTTGCAATTGTCATATAACGTTGAAGCTCATTGGATCTGGGGCTTCTCTCTCCACCAGATATCAAGTCATAGAGAACATTCGTACTTTGAGGTAATTGCTTTTTATAATCTTCTCTCACACACTCTCGTTCCAGAATGATCTTACCTATAGCTCTAGTCCAGATATGTACATTTTTCATTGGCAATAACTTCATTGCTATATTAGACAGTCTATTCCCGAAGTTTTGCTTGAATGACGTCGAATATGTCAATATCATACGCGTCTTCGTAAGAGTACAGTCGCTCACTCAAAGGCTTCGTGGTTTTTCAGATTTTCTTTGTCATTAGCCTTGTGATACCATGTGCCATTGGGATGAGTCATAATGCTTATCGAAAGTATATGTTACCCTTGCGTTTTCAAAGATCTCGTCGTTTAGTATTCAGCCAGCATCAAGGTTTGTTTTATTTTCATTTCGTTGTCTCTTATAATTGTTTCCTCCCTTGTTTTCAGTGTCCTTAAGTGTTGCTTCGAACATTGGTCCTCGCGAAAAAAAGCTGCCGAAAGTAGTGAATGTTCTTGGCATAGAGATATCCAGTGTCGGAGAGCAAATGTACTTCGAGAACCTCTCGAAAGCATGGAACTTGACAAAGTTTTAGAGAAAAGTTTATTCACACCTATGTTACATATAAGGCACTGCGCAATGAAAAAGGAAAAGAAACAAAAATATTAAGGCAAAACAAGCGGATTTTTACATATTGTTAGGAACTTTTGTCCTCCGTTGAGTACCTGTAGAAATATCTTAATATTAAATATTTTTTGTACAAATGGCGTCATGGAGGGGAGTTTATTGGAGCAACATCAACGTTATGAATACACTGGCTAATGAGCCGAAAAGTCCAAAAGCTCCGTTCTGCAAAATTATTTTTCTTTTGTTGAATTAGGCTTTTTTTGAACTAACCGTTGTGGTTTCTCCTGATTCAACACGATTACTATCCAACATGCCGCTCTTATCATCGACGATTATGGTGGGCATTGAGCTCTGAATGTTGTTGGATAAACATAGATCTCTTTCAAATTCTATTTTTACCTCTTGTCCCTCGGAAGTCATTGTGAGTTCTGTCGTTTCCTCTACGTCTTCTGGGGTTTCAGTCGTTTCCGATTCTTCAGTTCGTTCAGCTGTGATTTCGGTAGGTACAACTTCTTTTTGACCCTCTAATGACGTCTCGGAGTTGGCAATAGCGGAATCAGCTTGGATGCTGTTGATTCTGTTAGCTTCTTCAATAGACTCAACTTCGATTTCATCAATTTCACTAGGGGTAGATCCGAGCTCAGGTTCCATTCCCGATCCCGATTCGAGAGAAGTTTCGGGAGATGTCTCAATGGTAGCTCCAGTGGTCGTTTCTTCAGAAATCTCAAGCTTCTCAGTTGTCTCAACATTATCGACAGCCGCATCAGTTGAGATGGCGGTTTCTGTAGATAAGAATCCAGAAGTCTCAGAAATCACAGAAGTTTCGGTGGCATCAACTTGAAGAGAAGGAACAACAGTAGAAGATTCATCGGCAACAATTCCAACAGCCTCAGTAGGAAGGGACATAGTGCTGGTTTCTCCAACCTGTAAAGGTGTATGTGTGAGAATAGATAGATAGTGTGTGACAAACGTTTGAGGTCATTTCTGGTTCATCAGATGATACGCTTTCGGTACTTCCGTCAATAGTTTCCATCTTAGTAACTTCATCATTCTTCTAAAACAGGATAATGGCAATTAGTGTTAATTTCGAAACAGAAGTTTGGTCAACAGGTTATGAAGCTCATACTTGTTAGTACCTTGTTAGAGGCATCTTCAAGATCTCTGCCTAGTTGGTCGACTATTTGTTCATCAAATTCTTTTTGATTCTCATAATCAACAGGCTGATTGTCAATGTTCAAAACAAGCTATATTATATTATGTGATAATGATATTAAAGATTATAATATGTTTAGACTACATCTACCATCTACTTTAGCAGAAGCTGAAGCTATGGTACTTCATTTACTTTTTGTAGAGGACGTAGATGGAGTGTGATGGATTTGATTCTTTGAAGAAGTTCACTCACATCAGGTTCTCCAGTAGCAACTGAACCATCACTTCCTTCCTCCATATTTGGCTCAATGGACTATAATAATCAAACATCAAGCTTGAGCACTGATCATTGACGAAGATCTATACCTCCACAATACCGGAAGCTTCAATCTCGTCGTTGCTTTGTTGTCCTTCAATATTTGCAGTATCAGAAATCTGAAAACAAAGCTGATAATATTTTTGATGATTCAAAGCTTTTTCTCATTTTCCTCCCCATCAAACTGCTCACTGTCCAGTTTTTTTTTCAGCTCGGATTGACTCTCAGCATGTTTTGAGCTTTAGTACAACTGGAACGGTTCTTTTCCCCCCTCTATCTATCTATTCCGGAAAAGACTGATGATGACCAATCCAGTTACAAATTGCTCAACAATCATTTGGCTTCTCCGGTGTTTCGCACATGGACTTTCTTTTTTTTCTTTCTTCACAGTCGATCGTTTGTGCGATGTTTGATCAACAGTTTTCCAAAAGCAACACATTAGTCTCATTTGAGGGTCAATAGAGCATTACATGTTCTTGTGCTCGCAGAAGAAAAAGCAAAAAATGCTTAAAACAGTTCTAATTTCACACGAAGTTTCAGTTGGATTGTCCTTTTCTATATGAAAAAAAGAGGAAAACAAACCAGATTTGTAAGACATTTGCTTGGTTCTGGAATATGTTCCATGTGTGAGTCAGTTTGTTGTTTCAACTCATCAGAATTCTTGCTATTGCTCTCGAAGGGGAAGTTATGAATAAATACTTCAGCTGTTATCAGATTCTGTAAAACAAAATTGTTAAAAGATGAGAAAGAAAACAGAGAAACAGTCAAACACAACCGTCTCTTGTGTATTGTAACAATGAAATGACTTTGACGTCATATTCTAATTCACGTGAAATGCGTCACGTGAGCAATAGACGTATACGTGGCATTGGCTAGTTACTCACCATGCATGGAGTTTCCTTCTCGCAAACAGAATAATTCTCTTTCAAGCAGTTCTTATAACAAGTTTGTTTTCTTAAAATTTTAAATAAATAAAGATTCGTTTAGAATATGAACTTACTCGCAAGAATCCTGAATCTTCTGGCAAGTTTCAGAACACTCGTTGTAAGCATTGATAGGTAATTGACCAATCACATTCAAGATTTCCGGAACTGAAAAGCAAGAATCATAGTTTATAACAAGTTGTGTTTATGAAATATGAAAGTACAGACGCTCAGGTCAAGAGTTATCGTTTCTCTTTTGGTTATTCTCTGTTTATTGGGCCGTGGCTGGCCTTTCGCCCCAGCCCCTCTCCCTTCTCTTCATTTGATCCAACAGACACATCCGTATATGGAAAAAAAACTTACGTGAATCTTCATGTTTCTTACACAAGTAAGAGAGAGCGAAGTTGCGAGCAACACTTGGCTTGTCCTCGTCTGTGACCTCATTTGGACATAGAGCATAGCAAAAGACCATTTTCCTCACATAACTGAAATATCGCAATCATCTAACCTTTTCCAGTTGACTACATTTTTAATATTCACAAAGTAATTTTAATAGAAAATCTTTCACCCTCTCTCTCTCCCTCTATCTACCTCTCTCTTCTACTCTCTCTAGATATACAGTACATGTTGACTTGTGAATTGATGACGTCAGACATTTTTCACAATTATCCGGTTTATATCTGACTGTCCATTTATATTCTCTTTGAAATTACAAATGAACTTTTCAAAAACTTTGTTCGCCAACAGAAAATGAAACTCACTTGCATAGCTGGCTTTGATCAATCTCTGTTTGATTTTGATAATCATAGATCAGAGGAGCATTTGGAACTTCATTTGTGTAACTGCTCAGACAACTCTGAGTGCATTTCTTCTGATCCGGTAATACAGGAATAGCTGTAAAACAATTGAATAACATAATGTTACTGTATGTTGCTCCATTGCTAATAATCTCATTAGAGCAGGTTGAGAGTTAAGACTGGAGCAATGGAAGTGTGACATACCTGTTATTAGAGGTAGAAGCACGACTAGTACAACGGAAATCATCTGAAAGCAGAGTAAATGAGGAAGACTAGTGGACAGTCAGGAGGAAGTTTTGCTACTGTCTGCCCCGCCTTCTGTCCCTTTTTCGAACAACAAAAGGAGGAGTCTGGACTAGCTGATTGAACAACGAAGACGACGGCGACGACCGTCGAAGAACAAAACGAAAGAAACATAGGAAAAACAAATATTTTTTGTTGATTATTTTATCAATTTGCTGCCGAAAAATTACTTAAAACTCTTCAAGAAAATCGAAAAATCACGGATTTGACCTTAACGTCGACACGGCGGCACATCGGTCGGCCGTTTCAAATCATTGTGTAGTTGACGATGTTAATGAACGTTTATGAGGAAATATGAGATGACTTGGATAATCTGCGACATAACTGACCAGTTGTTTAAGAAGCTTCTGACCCACCCATTCCCTCCTTTTCACATCTCTCTCTATACGTTTTCTCTCTCTCTCTTCTATCTATCTCACTATACACATGTATGTCTGTCTCTTTCTAATGTGGTAGTACCAATGTACGTGGAACATGGAAAGAACCTGTTAAGTATTTGCCAGAAGTCAGATGTTATGAACAGAAGGTCATCTGAATCCTCTACGACTCTATTAAGCAAATTCGGCAAAGCTTCTGAGTAAAGTTTTTCGTGTCGAAACTAATTAACAAAAGCAAATAGGAAGATGAACATGGCCATCAAATGGCTTGTAATCCATCATTCATTTCAAAAATTTGTTATTTATTTTTCTTTTGAAGGACTTGTTAGACGAAAAAATGAAAGTTTTGTCCTATTTTACCCAATATTTGGTTGAAAAAGAAATTTTTTCAATCAAAGTCTGAGAGTGGAGTGGGGAAGGGGACGCATGAACTTCATGAGATGATAGTTGAGATGTAATGTACGTAAGGTATGGGTATGCAAATGAGAGGAAGAAGGAGAAGAAGAAACGATGTGAACTGTGTGGGTGAAGGGGCAGTTTATATAAGGGCAACTGTTATTCTTTTACTCAAACTATTGTTTAGCAGAGAATTATGCCTTTTTTCGTAAATTGGTGCCATAGGCTAGACGATGAGATAGAATGTAAGAATGAGAGGATGAGAGAAAAAGAGTTCTGACAAACAAGGTAAAAAAACAGTACTAAAGGACAATTAAACGTTGTCAAACAACAACAAGTAGGAGAAGCAGTAACAAAACAAAATTTCTTGCAAGGAAAGTCGTTGAACAAGTTGATAGAGACCAAAACATATGGTCAAAGTTGATTTGAAAGAGAATAAAACGAAAAACATCCTTCTGAACTTGGACACGTTCGGTTCTACTTCATTGTGTTGAAGACAGAAAGTAACAAAGCATCACGTCTTCTTCCGTCTCTCCCTATACCCTTGTCATCATCAAATTCATATGCCATTTACAAGAATGAAAACTTTCATTTACCAAAAACTTTTTTTTACATATAATACAAGTGAGTGGAGATCAAACACAATCAGCATAAAGACAAGCTTACAACTATCAGATGATGATATCAGATGAACATTTTCAGAAAATATTAATCACAGCTCTTTAATGATAAAAAGGTTTTTCGAAGAAAGAGGAAGAAGACACATACAAAGAGAGAGAGAGATAGAGATACAGAGAAAGAGACAGAGAGAGAGAGAGAGCTGAAACAATATTTATCTAGATGAGACCACGTCGCATGGATGTCATTTTCACAAACAGTTTCTTTAGAAGCGAAGGTTTCTCTTGTTCGATCTGTAATGGCTGAATGAGTTACATGATCAACATCTATTTCAATCTTACCTTCGGATGTTTCTTTGAGCTTTTTAAAGTGGACGACGTTGTTTTGTTTTTTGTTGTTGAGTGTTGTGTGGGTGAAGAAGAGGCTGCAACGGCTGCACTTTGCTCTTCGTCCAGGTAATAATACACTTGGCAAAACTGAAATTTCAAGTTGCAAGCGATTGTTTTAAAAACAAAAAAATATTTTCGAACTTTTTCCTTTCCGAATGTTCTTTCAATGCATTTGGTTGGATGAAATTGAGAAACTTACATTTTCACGTGAATTACGACTGGAAGCGCACACGTTGACGATCATTAAGAACTCTGAATATGAACAGTTACTCTTGTTCAGCGAACATCAGCACGAGATTGAAAAGATTTAAAGAAAAGTTCGAAGAAGGAAATGAAAGTGACATAGAGAGGGTGGGAGTGAGTCGAAGGCAACCTTCAAGCACGAGCTGACCTGCTTTTGAAAGGGAAACAGCTTAATCTGTCTTCAAACTATACTTCAGCATCCCCCCGCCCCCCTCCTTCGCATTCTCAATTTTCATCTAAACCCTCTCATAGACTTGTTTGTACTTTGAAAAGAAGCTCTAAAAAGAAGTTTCAAACAATTTTCAAATATAAGATTATCTTCAACAAGATATTGCTCATCCAAAAGATGATCAAAACGATTATCTTCCTTCTTCATCTTAATTTTGTTATTATGCTCATGTTATTTTCTTGTTTTCTTTTTTTTTCTTCTTCTCCTTCTTCTATCGCATAACATCCAAGCTAAGGGACTTATGAATGAGTTTGAGGAAGCAAGGCGCACTCACAACTCTCCCTCTTACCTACGTACTCATCAAAGGAAGTAAAGCTGAGATAATAACATTCCTAATTCTGAATAGCAAATGGAATTGTCAAAAAGGATTTCGACACAACCAGGAAGTGATATGAACAGAGCGTGGAATTTGAAGCAATTTGATATGAAATTGGAATTGTCTTAAGAGCTCAGCCAATATGAATAACACACAAAACGAAAATGGCAAATTATGTTTTTGATAAAAAAGAGGTTTGAGCAAACACACAACCGCTTCTGACGACAGCTAAAATGAAAATAACTTCCATTTTTCCATTTTCACGTTACCCACGTGGGTCCACGTGAAGCCACGGAAGAGTGTAGCTGAAACATTCAAATGAAGACAGCTCGCACACAACAGTTGTGAGAGGATGACGGAAACATTGAAATATGCGAGAAATGTTATATTTCGAAAAGAATTTGCAAAAAGAAAAAGATTATATCTTCTTAGTTGATAGTCAGCTTCAGAGTGAAATGTGAGAAGAAGATGATCGGAGAGGAAATCATCAAACTCTTAGCTCACTAGAGACATACGACGAATGAGGATTCCATACTTCGGATGCATAACTTGTAGAACGAAGTCATTGTCGAAGCAGAACTATATGAAAATAAAAAACAAATGGCCTCTTTTATTTTTGGGCAAAACTAAAGAAAAATGAAATCATATGGATATGTGGAGAAAGAGACTCGGAGACTACGTATACTGGGAATACAAACAGGAAAAACGAGAAGGTATCTCAGATATAAGCTATATGGAGGATACGTAGAGAATAAAAACTTTAAGCGACACTGGGAAAATAACTGACAAGCAGCTGCTGACGCGATGCATTTTTGTCAGATTGTGTTGAACTACGAGAATTCTATCAGGTAGTCAGACGGCCTGCATACCAAACAGTTAGCATTGCAGCCGAATGATTGAGGTGTCGCTGAGGCTAAGATGGATATTGTGTGGTTTAATCTGAGAGCTTGAGGATTTGCAGAAAAAAAAAGAAGTTTTTTGCTTTTGTTCATTGGCCGTTGAAGAAAAGGACAAGCAGATAATGTCTTCCTTTCTACACCTCCATCAGGTATCATGAATCTCACGCAAGAGATGAAGGACAATCATGTAACTGAAAGGTTTTCAAAGTAAAACTTATTGTGAAAACAATGTTGAGCACTAGCTGTTATAGGAAAAGCATTGAAAGCCCTAAAAGCTTGAGGACAGAAAGGGGTGGAGTGAAAGATGCAGGAATCGATACGAGACATTTGGCCCAGAGAATATGGCAAGGAAAGACTTTGGACTTTCCTGAATATTCCTAAAGTCTTCTCATTGACTATAATCAATCTTCTAAGAAGAATGGTCACGAGACCACATGACTTCAACCTTTAGAATCCGTATTTCGAGCTAGCGAAACAAAAAAAAAGTTTCATTGTATAACACATAGCAATAACAACAATAACAAAATCTATAAAAATCTAAGCTCAAGTTTCTAATTTATTATTCATCTTTCTCTCCTCCTAGTTGGACCCGAACAAAGTCCAGAACTTTAGCTTCATGACCTGTTAAGTACTCATGAACGGTCTGTGATGGATTAAGCATGAACGCTTGGCGTAACAAGGTAGTTTCGTCCTCATCAATATGAGTAGTCTTAAGTGTATCATATTTAAATTATAAGTTTCTTAGGAAAACGAACTTGTCCTTGGAAGAAATCATTGAGTTCGTCTTTATCTTTACCTTCTTCCGCCGATGAACTTTGCTTTTGCTTCAAAGAGTTATGTAAAGTACTACCTCAACGACAAGTCATGCAAACCGTGGATTTTTCAGCTGGAGGTTGACCAACAGACTCAGAACGCATACCAATGATATGTTGGCAGAGTTGATTGGCTAATTTCTCAGTAGGGAACAATCCCTGAAATCAGATGATGTTACAAACTCTCATGTTGTTGTTGAAATCTCGTAGCTTCTTCGCACGGATCATTGTTATTAGTGGGAAAATCACAGTCAAAAAGATTATCGCAACGATCTTTCTCCGAAAAAGAGAGAGAGCTTGGATCAATGAGAGTAGACTGCTACTGCTAGGACTTCTGACTCATACCTACCTTCTTTTCCGCTCTGGACAAAGCAACAACAGAGACAAACCGACCCATACTCACAGATTCAGTACCTTCTGAATTCAGCAGAATTGAATCAATGTTACTCATGTTTCGAAATACCTTTCGGATGAGAAGAGCAATATAACGAGGCTCCTTCCGGAGCAACGAGTATTTGAGCCTTTTTGACAGCAATATTTTCTCCCAACTTCCCTACGGACAACGCAACTACTTCATCCAATGTTTTTCCTTCGGAATTCTTCAGATCTTTCATATCTAAAGGAATAGCCTTATCCGAATGAAACATGATTGGTTTTACCAAAGCTTATCTGCGTGATTTTCGAAGCATCCCTTGAAGCTATTCTGGATGAAGAAGCTTTCAAAGCTGAAGCAGTTATTTGCTCTAACTGAAGAACCAAAACATAGACAACATAGTGTTTAATAGATGACTAACCAAAGATTTAAAATTATCTCCTCGAGCAACAAAATCTGTCTCACAACTTAATTCCAATATGGCAGCAGTAGGGCCTGAAGCAGCTACACCCACTAATCCTTGTGTTGTTTCTCTGGCACTTAATCTATAAAACACACAATCATGTTATAAATTCATTTCAATATCTTACTTCACAGCTTTAGCCCACCCTTCTTTTTGTGCTAATTCTTTGAGCCATTTTTCAGCCTCATCCAGGCGATCGGGACCAAACTCGAGAAGAGCTTTTCGGCAGTTAATGAAGCTATATCCGGTTTTTTTTCTAAGTTTCATTAAAGCCTGAATACGAAAAAAGTATTTCAAGCTCCTGGATCAAACGCACTTCTTTGTTAATTTGACCCGATGATGCAGCAGCAGGAGCTGCAGAGTACAAACGAGTTGCTAAACATCTTTGACCAGAAACCACAAACTTTCTAAGCATTTTGTACTAACTGTAATGAGAATTTGAGAATGAACATCAAAATCATAACGGGTTAGAGGAACAACCGCATTAGCAAAACGAGCATCAGGAAATGAAGGATGGAAGTTAACGTGGAAAACGTGACGTGAAAAACGTGACGTTATTGCGTCATCGCTTCCTCATTTGCTAAATTAGCATAAATGGAAGATGTTTAATTCATTTTCTTCATCTTGAACAAAGATGAGTACGTTTAAAAAAAGAATACTTAGATAAAAATAATTTCGCAGGTAGTACGTCATATAGCTGATCGATAAGAATCTGATTTGGGAAAGATTTTCGGGAGATGAAGTATAATTTTTGATTCTTCTCTCCGATTTTTGATTACAAGAGATGGAACATCAGACAGAAAGCTTAAGCTTATGTTCTATTTGAGTATACCATACGTAGTGGTGGTTCCTTTTGGTACGCAACTAGCATATATCACGCAGAGATGCTCTTCACTTACACTAAGTTAGCATTGTTATCCGCTTATTTATTTTATTTAGAAAAGAACATTTAATTTTATAATGGTTTAGAATTTTTTATCCGAAGCCTCGTTGAAGCGATTAATCAGACAGCAAATATTGGAAAACGGATTTGTTTTTCACACGATGTCGTAAGTCCTTGATTTCTTTTTGATATATTCTGTTGTTGCCTGTAGGAATCGTGGAACCAGAGGTCCTCGCTTAGCACATAGACATCAGGTAGCCATGAATTATATGATTAGAAACCCTCCATTTGATCGGTATAACGTAGGGGATAAGTTTGAACGGATAAATGCCTATGACGAGGCTCCATTGACTCAAGTAGTTAAAGAATACTAGTCCACCGTATAACCACTGCCTTTTAGAGTGTCCTCAACAGATCACAACACCTATTACCTACACCCAAATCAAGAGAAGCCGTTACTACGTTACTCACCCGCGTGCGGCAAATTTTGGAGGAAATTGCCAAAGATTCGACCAAAAACGAAGAATTTGTAAGCGAACACTGAAATAACAGGCATTCCGCTTGCTACAGAAAGTGGAAGACGTCAAAGAAGTTGGTTCTTGGAGAAAAGACATAGCCATATCTGATAATCTTACGGGAGATATAGCCATCATCTTAGGCATTCTACCGACTAGTAAGAAGAGTAAACCTAATTGTTTCAAATTTCATCTGTTTAGCTGATGCCGCGTACAAGCTGGGCAGTGCAGTTGTAGATGAGTTGCAAGCATTGAACGAGGGTTAGTTACAGTTTTCATTTCACCGCTCATTGTTGTGTTATTTCATTTATACTCGTGTATTAGCAGAGAACGGTTGCATTCTTTTTCGATCTAACACAGAGCGGTTGCATTCATTTTAATTTAGCACAGAACAGTTGCATTCATGGTTGTCATCTCAAATTTTTGATTTCAGTTGCTACGTTCGCAACCAAAGATTATGGGATTCATGTCGCTGGAGAGTTTGCGGAAGTAAAGGTGCTCATCACTACAATTCCAGCAAATGTGGCGTCTCTTCAACCGGATATTCATCGTAAGATTGGCATTTATGGAATTCACATGAATACATTTTTTGTTGTAGTATCGGAAAGAGCGATGATGTATAATTATCATTCAATTCGTCACGTGGCATGGTTTGACTCGGTTGCTGACTCTTGTCCACTTAGAGTAATACTGTAAATCAGGAAGCATAGAAATTAAATCTTCTTCAGGTTTTGGTGAGAGTCATCAAGTATGTTCGAAGCATCTTCTCGGGATTACAGCCTTTGTCAGTGTGGTCGGTTGAATTTCTTGTGAGTTGCATATATCGGTTTTGGGTACAGTATCCTATTTTCAGTGTTATTTTTGTTTGATGAATACACCCAACAGATCTCCTTTACCAATTGGTCCAGCTTTTCGAAGATTTTTTGAAACTTTGGCTTCTGGTGAGTAATAGCCTACCCGCAGAGCCTAATTTTCCATTCAGGCTTGTTTTTACCAGGAAGTCCTGGATTGGTTGACCCTACGGAACCTGCGTTCCGCATAGCGTCGGATATGACGTTGGAGGATATGGTAAAGTTCAACGCAATCTAGCTTGTGTGATGTCATTTTTGCAGGATAATGTTGCAGCTACTGCTCAGAGCATAATAAGAATAATAAATTTTGACGGCTCCGACATAGTTTTGGGACTGAAGTTTGTGACTGGCCTTCACGGTAAGTCTTTGATGTTATCATGTAAGCTGATGTTCGATGTGTTGAAGATGTTGCCAAAAATGGATGTGATGTAAACGGAACGAGGATAAAAGCTTTAGAGAACGCTTACTCCGAAGGATGTTTCAAACCTTACTTCTGTGATGAAGACGAAAGTCAATAATATTCTCAGCTTTATAATTAATTTATTTCTCTTTCTAAACTCCAATTACTTCAAGTAATCAACTAATTATTATTAATTTCATATGTGTGAATAAAACTTTCTCATTTGTCGACGATTCTGCAACTTGGACGTCTCCATATGGAATTCTTCAAGACTGGTATCAGGCTTTTACGTGTGCGCGGCGGCTCTGTGGTGCATAGTCCTTGGTGATATTTCGTTTTTAAATCCTTTAGTTCCTTCTCCGACACAAGTACATCATCCGTACTAGCGGGCATTGACAGCGAGCGCTGAGAAGTACATTGCTGGATTAAGGCGTAGATTAGACATTAAGATGTGAGAGGTTTACTTCTTCGGTGCGATAAACAACACTCGCGCTTCTCATAACTTGTTTCGTTATGTCTTCGTCGGCCACCACGTGTGATGTTGGCCTTCGACGTGGCTTCTTCCTGTTGGCTATCTTCCCCGATATTCCATTTTTCTAAAAAAGGAAATCAAATTAGGCGATACCAGATACTCCTTGACCTTTCTCGTTTGAGTGGGCTCAGTCTGATCAAATGAGCGTTTTTCGCTAGCTGATAGTCCCACTTGAAATAAATTTTGATGGCTGTATTGGCGGAACGAAAAAAGTTTTTTATAGTTTTCAGAAGAAGATTTGTAGGGGGGGATTGTGCCTAAAAGATTGATACTCTCATGATTCTCTGTGGCGGGGAGGCAAACCTGTTCTTTGAAAGTGTTGGTAGGCAGACGGCTTATCACAGCTCATGTATTGGGTGAGAGAAGGTGGCAGACCTTGTATGGCGTACAACTATTTTGAATCAAAATTGGATGAATTTGGCTACCAGTTAGTCAGGAGTCTTTTTCATTTCCATGTATGAGGCATCAGGAATGTAGTACGTCATCTATTGTTTCCATTCAGTTGTATCTCAAATGAGCACACGAGAACAATATGTGTAAAAAACAATTTATTAGAATTTTATATCATTTGATAGCAATTGAACGAAGCTCGGCTGTTAAGACAACAATTGGAAACTCAAATGCTATAATGAACATAAATCTGTTACCGGTTATGATGTGGCCAAGCTTCTCTCTTAATTCAAAATCTAGACGAGTAAGGCATTTCAAATAAGATATAATATATATGGCCATTCGATATACAATAAGCACGAAGTGGCCGGGCGTTGAATGAAGTCAACTGACGAATGAAAGCAGATAAATCTCTTATAAAATCCTAGAGAAAGCAAGGTAAACGTCGACGTATCCCATCGATGAGAAGTCTTCAGAAGACATCTCTCGATTGAATACTTCTATTTGGTAAATGAAAAGATAAGTGAGCGTTTTGCAGATGCTGGAAGATCTCTTTTCCTATTACATATCAGGGACAGAAATCTGTTCTTATAAGGACTATCGATCACGGCATTAAGCTTGAAAGTTATTAGTTGGCCAATATTATTTCATTAAAGTCGTTTTACTATATGTCTATTCATCCACTTTATATCTGTAAAATATTATTATTCCTCATCCAAATCATTCGCGCCTTCTTTAAATTTGAATTTCCCGTAAGCTACGTGCCGTACGTGACTCACGTGGGTGTATGCTAAACTCATTTGAAATAAAAAAAACAGTTCGCGCGGTCGTTTTTTCTCGTTAATGGTTTGTGATGCGTTTTAAATGTTTCTTTTTTCAGTTTTCAACATATGTTCTTACCTAAACGGCATCTGCTTTCAAAGCTCTAGCTTCTTCAGCTGTTCTTCCTTGTCTCCGTCTGGAAATCACATCAAGTATACTTTTCTGCGAACGTAAGCTTACTCTCGTTCGTTCACATTATATTGAGCAGCTTTATAGCGTTTACACGCTTGACAAGAATAAATAATAATGAAGAGTAGAATGAGAATAATGAGAATTACTGTTAACGGTAAGACCCAATCGTATCCACCTAAGGAAAGGCTGATTTTGGAATTTCAGTTATGGCTTACCTCTCATTTCTACAATCTGCTCAAATTTTACTTCGAATTCTTGTTCTTTTCCATCAACCACCATACTGAATCGATTGAATGCGACACACCTTCAGAAGAAGCTTATAAGGTTTGCAACTTATGAGGTCTTACTGATAAACTCCCGCATCTTCAGCACTGACCAAAGCGAACTCAATACTATCCTTGTCTACGAAGATGTTATCACTTTCCTCTACAAGAACTGGCATAACAACAGTCATATGAGCTTATCACATACCAAGAGGAGCTCCATCTTTGTACCACAATATCGTTGGATGAGGGAAACCTTTAACTGGACAGCTCAAAGCTCCAGATTGTCCTGGGGTTAGTTTGACTGTTGACTTTGATATAACCAAAGTTGGATCAATGTCAGACATCTCAAGATCAAGGGTGCCATTGTTATGAACGTATGGACGAGCTGATGATGGATGTGTAATTGGAAAGGTGAGTATATCTTACTATTAACGAACATATTTCCATATAACAGTTCAGAATCAGTTGTTCTCATCTCACATCTATACTTTCCTGCTCTCGAAACAGGTACTTCACCGAGGATGAGTCTTGCTCTCTTGCCAGAGTCATCAATACTAGCCTGAATGAGTGCTGGTTACCAGTATCAGCGGTATTGTATCACCTCAAATGGCTGTCTATCATGTGTGCGGACAAATCGAGCCCAAGAGAGTTCAAGAATGGTATCTCCGTCAGCAGCTTGGCACCTATATTTCGTGAGTTGACTTTCGAGAGGACTTTATTATTCATACCATAGTTCAGGAGTATAGGCAGTGAGTGGATCATCATCGGAAGAAAAAAGGCGATCTCCGGTTTTGATGACTACAGCAAGATTTCCCTGTGCTTTATAAGCATCCACATATAGGAGTAAGCTCAAGTAGACTGAAAGAAGTTTAGTGATATTTACAGAGAACGATAGAAGAGAAACCTAAAAGGCTGATGGAAATCATGTTAATCGTACACTACAACACCATAAACTGCTTCTGAAACGGTAGTGTGATAACATGATACAGGAAATGAAACAAGGTGAGTGAATGAGAATGAGAAGAGCGCGAATATTGTAATTATATGTTTACAAAGGAAAAAGTGTTGTTATGGTTGTATAATTGGGTAATTCGAGAGGATAGATGATTTAAAAATGGACATTTATTTGTGGGTAAGACGATAAATTGTACTGAATGAGCACTAGTAGAATGAGATAGATGTGCTTTTGGAGGCTGAGAGAACGAGTGTAATGTAAGTATAATAGAAGGAGTAAGAGGGAGAAAAAGATGCGGGAGTTTCGGAAGAACAGGACAATATCCTCAAATTGGCTAGTTTCGTTCTAGGAGAAATCAAAAAAAAGTATGCAATCTTTGAACATGAAGCTAACTAACGAGAGATCAATAGCTAGAGTTCTACAAGAATTGTGTTAAGGCGAGACCTTTCATTGCCTATACATGTACATCTAGGCATGATAGCACGACTGTGGTTTTGGCTGAAACAAAAAAAAAGGAAAAACTAGATCTTCTTTTCGGAGACTTTGTTCAGTGAGCAAGTAAAGGCATGAGAGAATCGAGATAGAGGCGAACGTTGCGATTTTTTTAAACGACACACTTGACGATAATTTGTTTAGAAATGTAAATTTGAAGTCAGGAGTGAAATTGACAGATAATGAGATTTTGATGCAAAAATCTGACAAATACGATTGATTTTGGTATTCCAATAGTTAGCCCCGTGCGCTCACGCCTTTCTAGTTCTCTCTCAGTCTCTACCTCTTGATCCTGCTCGTTTTCTCTTTTTTTTATTAACTATATTATTAAAAGATAAATACGATGGGAAAATCGATTCGAGAGTTGGAAGAAAAAAACAAAAAGAAAATAATTTTTTGTCCAAAAATAATTATATATAATTGTAGGTAGAGAAGCTGGTAGCACATCAGACGAATCTGGAGAACAACTTTGGAATGTTTTGTGTGTGTGTTCTCGATTGAACATGGAAAATAGAGCAAAAAAAATAAAATAAGAAACACTATTTACAAGATGGAAGTTTTAAACAAGGTTTGGCATATTTTCTTCTTCTTCTTTCTATGAAATAACATAAAAACTTTATAGAAAATATGAAAATACAAGTTGCGAAGAAGGCCTTGCGATGATTGAAGAGATTTTCTACGAAACAGACTGACTGCAAGCAATATGTATACTTGTGTCTTTCACCATATTAATGTCTTAATCATCTTATTTATAGAGACAGACAGAAGGAGAGAGATAGAGAGTTATGACTCAAGGCGGAACGTGACAATGAACTCAAGAAACTCGGAAAGTCCGCTCTGACTCAAAGGATTGACGTTCTTGAACGGTTAGTCCGCTTGTTCTCTTCCTGACTTGCAAATCAGCTCGTTGTTTTTTGTCGTCAAGGCGTTCTCACTCACGCTTCGCTATTTTTCTCTGCCTAGTTTCTCTTTTTCTCGTTTCGCATGCTTTTGAATAAGCCAAATATGGCCAATTAGGCAGGCAGGACGTTGTCCCTCTTCGTTTTCCTCCAAAAAAAAGTTTTTTGGTTAGAGCTAATAGAGTTTCAATTCGTATAAAAATGGCCATTGTCGGGAATGATGATGTCTACGGTGGTAGCGGACAGATTAGTCATGTCAGCGAGGTTTTTTTGGAAACGTTTATTTGATTTGTGGAAAATTAACCACTTTCTCATAAACTATAATGTGAGCAACCGAAACGTATGAACGAGAGGAGGGTGAGGGAGGAAGGTAGAACTGGTTGTTCAACAGACAAGACACTAAACGAAGCTATTTTTCGTTGAACAGTTTGTTATTTTTTCACGTTAATAGTAGCTTGAAAATAGAATTTGGAGAGCATGAATCTGGGATTTTGTGAGATTCAATTGAGCAAGTCGTTGTCATCATCTTTCTTCTTTAGCTTCCAGTTCTAGTTGCACACAAGAAGTGAAGAAATAAAAAGAAAGAAAAAAAGGAATGTGGGAAAAATTCTTATTCCAGCTGGAAGTTTTCATAGAAAGTACGCCAGATTGAGAGCTGAAATACATCAACGAGTAAATTGAGAATCAGCTCGAAATCAGATACTAACAACTTTGAACCTTTTTTTGTCTCAAACGGCAACAACAGGAGCAGCCATTTAGCAGTGTGTTGTTGACAATCAAAGATGAAGTTGAACATGACGACGGCATAGGAAGAATATATATTTCTTGGGTGAAATATGCGAAAATGAAGAGTGAATGTCATGTCAGCACTATCCAATAGAGCCGATACACACAAAGCATTGAGGCTTAAGAATCATTTTACTCATTTCGTCCAATGCTCATTATCGATCCGATAAAGGAAATGGCTAGTTGGATATCGCTTGAAAATCATTTTTATGCTTTTTGTTCTTTTTTTTTGGCTCTTTGATTCGTCACTCTCTTGTCAGTGAGATAGAAAGTCTCATAAAAGATGAAATGACTCTTCAGATGTTACATGTCGTGAAGATGTAAAAGGAGACTTAGTTACTTTGAAAAAGCAAAATATTATTTAAATATCGTAGGAAATAAGGAGGAATGTAGAGAGTAAATAGAAAAATAAAAGAGAAAAGTTAAAAAGGCAAAATTGATTTGAAAAATGTAAGCGAAGTAATGGGAATAGAAGTAAATGCCTCCAGGGGATATAAGCTTTGATAGGCTTCTGTTTGTTGAAATAAGCTTAAAATACAAAAAAAGAACTTTCGGTTCTTTCATTAAGCGCCAAGTAAGCTGAATCGAGAGTATTGATAGTAGTTTTTTCGTGTTTTTTTGTGAGGGGGTTGAAGCTTTAAGCTATAGATTATGCACATACGAAAGGAGGGGGGCAAGAAGGCAAATTCGTTCATCCTACAACGAAATGTTTTCTTGTGATAAGTAAAACAAGAGAAAGATTAAAATGAGATTAAAGTTGGTTGGAGAATGTTGTTTCTTTAAAGAGATTTGATACCAAAAATCTCTTTTTTTTGTGCTCCGCCATAATTGTGATGACTTCATCATCCCATGAGGCTTCGAATTTCTTCTCTTCTTGTCAGTGGCTTTCAAATAACTTGATATAGATGACATTTTCTCTGAATCTACTGATTTTCCTCAGATAGATAGCAGATAGAAGACTTTTGAGCTTTTGCTTCTTTCAAAAGAGAGATGCATGATGAAGCTAAAGCTATTTGTGTTTTCTAACTCATTGGTGAATGAGAGAAAAAGAGAAAAAAGAACAACAACCATAACTGTCATAAGTGAATTAGAAAAAAAACGGAACAGAGCGGTTGCATTCCATAATTGGTCATAAAGGAATTATCGTTTATGGTCATTTTATCATTTGAAAGAGAGATTTATAAATTAAATATAAACGATTATTAATAGGAAAATCAATGAGTAGTTAATAGAGGAAGGAAAGAGAGAGGGAAAAGGAGATAGAGCGAGAAACAAAGAGAGTGAGAGAGCAGAATGTACAGTTTTCTCATAACATTCAGGTAAAGAAGGAATGATGTTTGTACATTCATATTGCTTTCTTTCATTCGTTTTTTTGTATTTTCATACAAAAGAAGAAAGCGTTTATTCGTTGAGAATATAGCTAATGTCTTTGGAAGTTGTGATGCAACATGTGGTACTAATTTACAGAAAAAAAGATTTCATAAAACATAGTTTATTGAAGGAAGCGAGGGGGGGGGGGGTTTGGGCTACTTCTCTGAAAAGAAAGAGGGAAATAGAAAGAGAGAAAGAGAGAGAGAAGTATGTGGTTGCGGGTATATATCAAGAAAAGTAATTTGAATCGGTAAGATTAAAAGACATTCAAGCTTGATTTATGAGACGAGAAGAAGAAAGGCGTTTACCTGACCTTGACTAACAACAATCAAACAAGAATTGATTATCAATGATATGTTCATTTGTGAAACACAAATCAATTTGAATGTTGAACTTGTGAAATGAGACGCAAAGGACATCTGAGGGTTATGATGTGACAAGTTGAGACGAGAAAAAGCTTACTTGTCAACTATATCATATAGCTAGTAATAAAATATAAAGAGAGAGAGAGAGAGAGAGAGAGAGAGAGAATGAAAATGAAGAAAAAAAAAAAGGAAAGCGGGGGGGATTTTCTATCATTTGGAGGTCATGATCATACTGCCGTTAGCGTACATGTTTGGCCAACTATTTAAAGATGAAAAGAGTTTGAAACAGAAGTTAAAGACAACAAAAATGGAGATGAGATTGAGTGAGGAGATAAGACTACAACTGCAATGACAAAGGGCTATTTTGAAGTATGTAGTAGGTGAAAAGAAGCATTTTTCATTTAAAAATAAATAAATTTTTTTTCTTGCTCTTAATGTCAGAATGATGAATTGGTTGTTTGAATAGGAAGGTTAAGCTTATTGACTTCAATCAAACGACTCAGTGAAAGACAAGAGCTCTTCGATTTTCATTTTGGCAACAAGAAAATACCTGATGGATGTTTTGAAGTAAAAAATGAAAAGCTTCAAATGGTGACGTCATGGTTGCTCGTATGAAGATAGAAGAGGTCAATTTCGGGTGACAAGGTTACAAAAACTTGACAAAGAGAGGAGAGTATTTAGAAGAAGAAAGGCTTCGCATAGCGTCTAGAGAGAGAAAGCGGGAATGGGTAAGAGAGAGGAAGAGAAAGAGAGAGAAAAAATGAAGATGAATCTGATATCAAAACTTCAGCATGTCGATTCAACCGTGTAAGCAAACAGAATCAATGAAAAGTAGGAGGAGGAGGGAGAAAGAACGATGAGAACAAGAGAAAATTGAAGAAAAACTTGAGCAAATCGTCTTTCCGGCAATACTTTCACCTATTTTACTTAAAATTCAAAAAAAACGTTTCGAACGTTAATGAGGTTTTGAATGGTTTTTTGAAAAGAGAGGAACATGCTCTTTTCAATTTCGACGGCGCTCGTAGTTGTCGTCGTTGAAATCGTTGTCAAGTTCAAAA